AGAACAAACCCTAGGAGCTATTTGTAGTGGATTCCAAGCTACTGTCGGATCTTCCGCAGTTTAATCAAAAGTAAATCAACCAAAGGTAATTACAACTTTGACCTAACTAAGGAGCTAGGGGGACTCATTCCCGAGTGACTCTTCCCTTGCTTAAGAACTTCAAACCATTTCCTGCTTTCTTACTGCTTTTCATTACAATCACTCTCACTCAACTTAGTCTTGCTAGATAATAGATAATCACCGAGTAGGCAGTACATCTAGACCTCGGGCTGATAAATTGAACTTGCCACTATTCTGCATTTCCGGATTGCGATTACACTTGGTTGCAGTTTGGTGATGTGTCATAGCGTGTCACTATGAAAGCCCATGGAAATGAGCTCACTCAACACATTCGCTAAACACAACCTATTTATACATTGCATAGTAGACCTAGGCTAGGGTGAGGGATAGTTCTCTAAAGTACCTGCTTTTATCCTTATGTGTTCTCTCTACTAGTTAATTGCTTGAATCCTCCATCACAAACCCTTAAACCAATCGGTTAGATAACAACAACGTGGGAAGTAGGATAGGGTACCGGGACCCAAGTGAATACGACGTTGATTGCTACTATATGACAACGCCACTCTAGGTCAAACTTTGCATAGGATGGGTTAGTTATTGAAATGTTCTAACTATTAACAATGACTTGCATGGAATGAATCGATCAAGCTTTTTGGCGCCATTGCCGGAGAACCTTGGTAACTAGTGGAAAGCCATCAAGTTGTTAGTTTAGCCTTTATTTTTTTTTGTTTGGGTTTGGGTTTGTGTTATTTTTGTAGTTTTTATCGCTTTGTGTTTTGATATCCAACGTTGTATGTCACGGCTTGTTGAGTTTGTGTCTTGTAGCAGTTTTGTATTCGAAGAAGGGACTCTTTGGAGATATTAACTCTTGATACAGATATCAAGAGAACCCTTAAGAATCTAAGAAGAGTTGTGAGACATCAACCTCAACCAATGGAGGATCAACAACAACCTCAAGTTCCACCAAGGCCTAGAACAATGGGATCTTACTCAAGGCCAAGTGTGAATAATTTTCAATCACCTATTCTTTACCCAACAATGTCGAATAACAACCATGAGATAAAGCCGGGTACAATTTTGATGTTTCAAAGTGTGGTTCAATTCAATGGGATGATGAGTGAAGATGCTCAATCACATATCGAGTCGTTCTACGAGTAGACATATGGAATCAAGGTAGACGGGGTTCCTTAAGAGGAGATTCGTATGATGTTATTTCCCGTTTACTCTAAATGGAGCGACAAATCAATGGTTGAATAACCATCCCCATCGCTCCACTGTCTCCTGGGATGATCTATGCAACAATTTCTTCTCATGATATATTACACCTTCTAAGACGACTCAAGCGAGATTACTATGTTCCGCCAAGAGGAGGATGAACCATTATTTAAAGCATGGGAAACGTTTACAGTTTAAAAGTCACCCCATGGCCGTGAATTGTTACACAGAGCATAAAATCCCCCTATGTTGACTATAAATTAAATCGTGATTCATTTCTCGTCGTCACGAGGTTCTTTTCGCCTGAATTCGTTGAAACCTCGATGGAAAACCTTGCCTCCGACGGTTTTTTGTCTATTTTTCCCACTTCCATCCACCCTAATCTAAAACCAAAAAAGGCATACCCTTACTCCTTACATTGAGGAGCTCCTTTGTTTTTATCTTTTGGGGTGGATTGATGGTGGTTGACTCACCGGCGGTTAGCCTCCGATGACATTCTAGCGACCTTTCCATGAGCTCCTCCGGTCATCTTTCCTGCAAATTTTTTTGCCTCCCTCACCTTCTCCTCGTCTTCATCGAGGATTCTACTTGAGTTTCCATGTGTATAACTATCTTTTATATGGTTAATTTTGGAAAATCAAATCCTAGGGTTCTTAGGTGAGGATTTTAGTCATTTTGCTTGATATGCTTCAAGAACTTTGTATACTTGGGAATCTTCACAACCATGTCCAAGAAAGGAACGGTTACCTTGATTTGCTTGAGTGTATCCTTCCATTGAGCATATTCATGATGTAAGTCTTTTACGAACAATCTCCCGGGATAAGGTGCCTTTGGAATATATTCGAGTACTTGAGGCTTCTTATGAATATCTTCCTCCTCAATATTGATATTGATGGGGACTATCACTTCTTCTTCAACAAGCTTTTCTTCTTGAGCAACTTCTATTTGAACTTCTCTCAAAGGTGCTCGGGGTGTCGGTCTCGAAACTTCCTTCAATCTTCCTCCTCGATATCACTCAACTCCGCGATGAAGATCCCTTCACAACAGTTTTGGAGAGCCATGAGACCATAGCGTCTTATCTAACTCAAAGAGAGGAATAAATGAGCCCCTCCTTGTACCGTTACCTCTACCACACTCTCAATGCTCATAAATCAAAGTGTGGGGTAAAAGGTGCAAGGAGGAGACTAAGGTGGTTTATTCTTCATGGCCAACCATCAAGCCTAAAGAAAGATGGTATAAAACTAGAGCTTGCGATCAAGACGAGGACTTCAAGGAAGCCCTAAGTTGGGGAGCTTGATGAACAAGGAGCTACCCTAGCTCAAAGGTATCAAAAGAACGCTTCATGGGAGGAAACCCATGCATGGAATCCAACTTCAAGATGTAAAATCAAAGTGCTACCGAGGAGACAACCTGGAATTTATGCTTTTATGCTTTCTATGATATTTTTGTTGAGGAGGAGAAGCACTTGCTCTCTCCATTTTGTTGCTCTCACATTCGTGTTGTTTTTGTTAAGATCCATACAAAAAGGAGAAATGAAGCAATGGTGATCCAATGGTGTCCAAAACCCTCTCAGGAGGGACAAATAAAAAACGGAGAAGGAGTGTCAGCCCTAACCGCCACTCAACCGCTATTAGAAAAATCACCTAACCACCGTGAAATTTCCTTTACCTACATGAAGAAGGATTCTAGCTGGACCTTTTCCCGCAAGAAGAATGAAGGCAGGTCTGACCACCACCACCCGCTGCCATGATTTCTCTTGTTCCTACACAAAGAAGGACTCAAAATAGTCCAAATCAAAGAAGGAAAAGGCTGGCCATACTACCTACCACTGACACGCCACACTTCTATAAAAGAGGGGACACCCATCTTCTTTTTGTGCACATTCACTCTCAAGATCTAGATCATCAAGAGTCAAATTCAGGTGCTACAACTCGTGGGATTTTGTTTCTAAGAAGATTTTAAAGAAATGAGGAGTTGTCAAGGCCCGTCCTTGTGATATAGTGGGGGAGAAAGAAGGAGCATCAATTCAAAGCAAGATGGAGGTAGCCACCCAAGAAGAGCAGAAAGAGAAATGGAGGAAGCCATTGATGCATGCCCATGCCTACACGATGAAGACATCTCATGATATGGTCGAAGACAAAGAATATGACAAAACCTTGACAAAGAAGATGAACATCTTCGAAGAGGCCACTCAATACCCTCAAATTGTGCAGAATTTGATAGAAGTCTCGAGAGGAGAAGAGAGTGTCATCCCACTATTGAAGAGCATTAGTGTTATGAAGAACCCAAGGAAAATACTCGAGCAACTGCTTGGAGAGAAGGAGAAAATTAGGAAGACGACCATCGAAACAATTCCTAATGAACATAAAGAAAATTCATTTGAGTATACAAAGAAAGGAAAGATCCGGGTCATTGCACAATCAATTGTCTCCTGGATAACCATTATCTAGAGCAAGGATTGGTAGATCTTGGTTTTAGTATCAACATCCTACCACTTCTAATCAATGAATAGATGGGTCTAGCTGACATGGTGGAGACTAATATGGAGATCAAGTTAGCAAAAAACACTCCCTGTGAACCTCTAGAAGTGGTTCGAGCACCCAAATCGGGTTGTTCATCTTCTTTCTAGACTATATGGTGATCAAGATGAAGATAGAGACCCCATATTTGTTGATATATGGTTGACCATTTTTGGCTACTGGCGGTGATCAATCCACCCGAAGCTTGAGGAGAGGTTGTCCATGGGCCAAGGAGGCCAACTAAAGAAGGAAATGGTTGTTGGTCCCAACCGCTGCCTAGCCACCGTCAAGAAGCCCAAGCTGAAAATAGATCTTTAGGCCTTGACTTTGGCCCCAAGTCAAAGAAACCTTGTCCTAGCCTATTTAGAAGGGTTTTGGCCGAGATCTATCCTTATAAATAGAGTGAAACCTCGAGTAGTATTAATGCCTGATTTTTAGATCATTAATTATATAGACTATTGATTATGGCTCTTAGAGGCCTACACTTAATCATGTGCTATCCTAACTTCCTTGTTCTTCATTAATTCGGTAATGGCATGAAGCAAAAGCACGCATTACCTAGTTAAATCTCTACTGCAAGACGGGCATGCACATGTAGAGAGTGGATTTAGTGGAAGGGATATAATGATTTTATATATGATTCATTGATGCATGATATGATTGAGCTTTAGTATGCATGATGCTACACAATATTTACCTTCATATACAATAATGTATCTTTACTTCTATGCATCTACAACTTGAAAAACCCTAAACAACTTTACCTTTCCTTTGCTTTTCTTGTTGATTGAATGAAAACCCCTAAAGACGTTTGTTTATTTCGTGTAATATAGATGGTATGGTGTGAGTAGTTCATATTAAAAGATCTTGTCGAATACGACCCTAGGGCATCCAAGGATTATAGCTCGATTACCACATCACAATGAATTCACATCATAACTCCATTGGCCATCTGATTAGAGCATGCTCTTCGACGAATGATGGGCGTATCAAATTCCTTTTTTTCTATTTTTATTTTCATTTAGGAGTTGAATCATTTGATCTCTCCATTATCTTCTTTTAGTTGCAAAGCCCATTTTAAAGTGTGGGGTGAAATTATGTGCTAGATGTTACTTTTATGCTTGATACATGATATATATTTAGTCATTCAATTTCAAAATTTTATCCATAGTTTTATGGTTATGCAAAGGAGTGATGCTAGTTTCTCTCTAGTACAAGTAAAATTTTCACCCATTGAATTGATAGCCAACTTGATGATGAGTTCTTAAGGGTACGAATAAAGTTTCTGACACCCCTTAGTTTCTTTGACCCTCCACACAAATTTAGGTATAGGAGGTTATAGCTCTTGCTCCACCAATAAGGGTCGAATGCTCTAGTAAGGAGAGAGTTCCCTACACAAGAACATAAAAAATGTGATATTAATTCATGAAGAAAAATAGTGAAATTAAAAAAATAAGTGATGGTATGTGTGTTCAAATAAGGAAAAAGTGCTTAAACAATATGTCAAGTGATGGTAGAAGCTTTCCAAAATGATAAAATGCTTATCAAAAGTTTATCCCTATGTGTTTTGAGACTCTAATGCATAATTAGTTGTTTATGCTGGGATTGGATTGCATGATGTTCTTGCATGTTGATGTGGTTCGGATTCTCTTATCCTATCGTTGACTTTTGTTTTTTGAGAGTCCCTTCGTCCAGGATTCATTTGTCCTCTGACCACTATTTGCCATGATGCTGGCTCGAGACTAGCGTTCTCGCCGAAGAAGCTAGGAGATGCCTTGTGCGCCGGTTGACCTCGTAAGCTGCTAAATGATCTAGGAAATCCTCTACCGACGATCGAGGGTGCATATTGCTATAGAGGTCTGGAAAGCAGCACTGGTTTGAGTCGGGTTTGCCTGGGGACAAGCAAACGGTTAAGTGTGGAGGAATTTGATAACAACGTATTTGCACATGTTTTCCCCTTCATTTCTTGATATTTTAGCTTAGTGATTGGTCATTCCTTGGCCTATTTTACGCTAGGTTGTGTTCTTTTGTCGTATTTTAGGTCCTAGTACGTAAATATGGCCTTGGGACGAGTTTAGGGACATTTGGAGGTGAAAGCAGGTCGATGGCGAAAACGGGCAGCAGAGCTGTTGAAAAACACACCCTCAAACACGACCTCTGTTGTGAAAAATACGGCCTTGTGCTAGAGTCCGTATTTTTTCCTCTGCACTTCACAGAATCGTCATTCAGAAACCCGACCTCTTTTTATTAAAACTGTAATATCCCGTTCCGGCAGAACAAATATCTTGATCGCTAGAAATTCGTGATTTTAAATTGAGCGTTTTGATAGTATTTCGGCAAAAATTGGATTATCAATCAATCGGATAAGTATACGGGACGGAATGAGACAGCCAATATGAGATTAACTTGAAAATAGTTTGTAAAGTAAATGATACTGGAAATGACCAGATTAGCAAAACGTAAATACTGGAAATGACCAGATTAGCAAAAAGTAAATACTGGAGATGACCATATTAGCAAAAAGTAAATACTGGAGATGACCAGATTAGCAGAAGATAAATACTGGAGATGACCAGTTTTGCCTAAAATAAATACTGGAGATGACCAGTTATGCACGAAATAAATAAAAGTTGAAGATGATTTGAAAAAGATGAAGTAAAACTAGATAGTTTGATAGGCTTCTTACACAGGAATTCGTGAGAGAAGATGATGGGAGGAAGCTTTGCAAGAGAGCAATTCCCACTCAAAAGAACTCTACTTACAACAAGTGAAGGGAGTCTCCTTTTATAGAGAAATGGAGTCCCCTTTTGGTAAATAAATTGAAAACATAATGATGACAATGTGGACACTTATATGATTATGTCACATGTCATAACAAAATTACATTTTTAATATAAAGAAAAATAGATAATTTGTGGTCTTCTTTCCATAACCAAATTAAGTGGGTTGGAAGTGGAGTCACTTCTTCTTTGTCTTTAGGATAGTGGATTGGAAGTGGAGTCACTTCTTCTTTGTCTTTATGGTAGTGGAAGAAGCAATGGGGTCACTTCTTCTTTGTCTTCAACTTAGTGCTCTTTGTTGGCAAAGGACCAAGCACTTCTTCATCCGGGTCATGGTTTTGGAACGTGGAATCTGCGCCAGATGTTGAGCTAGACGCCACATCTTTGAGAATTTGGAAGTATTCTCTTTCAGTCTTGGCACCAGCTAAGAGAGCGATGATTGAGGATTTTGTTTGCAAAAATTGCGTTGAGGATTTTTTGATAACTTTGGACAATTCAGGATTGTTATTGAACCATTGGAGGACTTGAGGTTTGTAGGCTTGTTCTGGGCGAGGATTTGCAGCCAAATATTTGGTTTTGAAGCTACGGTCTAACATGGGTACCTTTGTGACGACACATGTTTGTTAACTGAATTCCCAAGCAGTAATCCAAGGAACTTTGATGTAGTAACAAAATTTGAGGAGGGGGAATATTGGACCAGAATATTTTTGACAGAAGGTTTGATATCCCTCTTGTATCTCAGTTGGATAGATATTTTCAGTTGGCCCAAAAAGATCCCAGCAGTGCATAAACCAGTTGGGGAAAATAATGGGAGTTTTGTAATCCCAGAAAAAACTCCAGGAGTGTCGGTACATATGGTTTTGTTTGAAGAAGGCATTAATCCAAGCTTCATGGTAATCCCAGTAATTGAAGGATTGGCAGATTTGCGGGTGGTTAAGAGCAATAGCAGCAGGGAATTTTTGGTTGGTGTTTGGGCTAGTAGGCCATTGGCGAGGGTGGATAATTTGGTGGATTTTGCAGGTTGAGTGGGTATTGAGTGTCTTGTCTGAATGATCAAATTTGCGGGAAAAGGTGACTGATCCAATTTCTGTGAGGATAAGTTCATAATATTTGTGGGTTTTGTTGAGAGATCTTAGTTTGAAGAACCACTCATTGAGGAAATGTTTGGCAGTAACATTTGGATATTGATGGTAGAAACCATCTTCGACAACGAAAATGGGTTGAAAAGTGTTTTTCTTAAAATACGTTTGGAATCGATTTTGAGGGGCTTGGACAACCACCACCTCTTGGGTTTTGGGAAAAACAGTTTTGAGAGTGGCTATCGAAGATGCCACCACTGTTGAGGTAGGTGCGACATCAAGATGATGTTGCTGATAGATTTGTTTGGTTTCTTCAGAAGATATGAGTGTGGGTAGGATGCCACTTGGCGTTTGAGTATTTGAAATAATTAGTTGAGAAGGGGAAATTGTTGAGGAAGTTGAAGCTTCAGTGGGACGCTTTTGTTTAGAACCAGAAACGACAATAAATTTTTGAAGGTAATTTTGGGCTTCAAGAGGAAGCTTATCAATATTGATTAAAGCTTTGGATGAACTTGAGTGTGAACCAGAATCATCAGAAATTTCTTCATACTCACTTGAATGATCATGGCTTCCTTGTTCATCATCAAATATCTCTCTCCATGTTTTGAATTTGATTTTCTCTTTATCTCGCAATCTAGTGGTAGGGGGCATTATGTCTGGAGATTCCAAGCCTGAGAGTTTTCCGCACTTCGTCCTCCCTGCAAAAATTCCCGAGTAAAAGTCTGGAAGAGAGTTTGAAGAACCATTTATAGATTGTATGTCGAAATAAAAAATGCTAAGGATGGCTTGCCATCGTGCAAATATTTGTTTAGAAATATTTGAACATCTTTTTCAAAAATGTATTTTGCTGATTGGAAATCAATGCGTAGTAAAAAAATTTGATTGAGCAAATCATGCTGAAATTTTGAGATGCATAAAACAATAGCAAGCAGTTCTTTTTTGACAGTGGAGTAATTGATTTGGGTAGGGTTCCAATGTTTAGAAGTAAAGCGTACCAACAACTCCTTATCATTTTGAATCTGCTTAAGGATTCCTCCCTATCCTAGGTTAGAGGCATCGGTTTCGACGATTTTAGGGAGAAAATGATCACTTATGTGATGGCACGGGAGACTCTGAACCTGCCTCTTAATTTGCTTAACTATTTTGGTATGCTGGTCACTCCAAGGAGGGGGGCTCTTTTCCAATCTATCATGGAGAGGTTTACAAAGAAGATTGATGTTGGGATAAAAGTCAAGGACATAGTTTAAACTACCCAGGAACCGTTGTAATTGATTTTTGTCTAAAATTTGATCAGGTAATTTATCTCCAAATTGAAGAGATCTTTCGATTGGAACAATTGTTCCTTGACTAATGTAGTGACCCAAAAAAACGTATCTTAGTTTGAAAAAGACAAAATTTTGGTTTAGAGACAGCCAGACCGTTACGTCGAGTGACTTCAAGAAATAGATTAAGATGTTTGAAATGTTGGTCAATGGACGAAGAAAAAACCAGCACATCATCAATATAAACTATTATGAAATCAAAATAAGGAGAGTAGATTTGATTCATAATTCTTTGAAATTCTGAGGGGGCATTTTTCAAACCAAACGGCATGATGTTCCATTCATATTGGCCAAAGGGAATGGTAAAAGCAGTTTTATAGCGGTCTGTTTCTTTGATTTGGATTTGCCAAAATCCAGATTTCATGTCAAATTAAGAAAATATTAGGGACTGTGAAAGTCTCTGGAGTAGATCCTTTTGGTTGGGGATAGGATACCTAATCCATTTCAGAGTCTTATTCAACGGTTTGTAGTTTATAACAAGACGAGGAACGCCACGTTCCTTTTCTGCATTATTAATGACATAGAAAGCAAAACAACTCCAAGGGGATTGGCTAGATATGATAAGGTCCTTTTTGAGCAATTCTTTAATTTCTTGTCGACAATGTTTTTCAAGGTCCGAATTCATTTGGATAGGCCTAGCCTTGGTGGGAATGAGATTTTCATTGAAATCTTTTTCGTAAGGAAGATCAACCTGATGTTGTTTTGATGCCAAAAAGCATTGGGTGTAGCAGCACAAATAGAGCTTTCAATGTGCTCTTTTAAAGAGTTGATTCGTTTTTGCAAAAGGGGTTGAGAAAGTTGTTGTAAGATTCGCTTAAAATGTATCTCATCATGCAAATAAGATATTTGATTAGTTTTACAACGAATTATATGGTGTATATATTTTATAGAAGAACGTCGTAAAACATTTATATTTCGAACTTTTGGTTTTTGGAGAAATGAGAATTCAACATTGTTGCCTAACACAACAGTTTTAATTCCTTGGTCGGTGACGGTAAAAGGTTTTAGAAGATTTAGAAAAGGTGTCCCTAAGATCACCTTTTATTGCATGTCACGTACTAGGATAAAAGGAGTTTTGAATTCAACATTTTGATGAAAAATTAAAGCATTAGAAAGTTTATATTGTATTTGAAGAGGTTGAGAGTTAGCGGTAGATAGACGCTCGAGGGTCTTTTCATAGTACTTAGTTGGAATTAATCCTTCTTGGATGCAGTTCATGTCTGCTCCTGTATCAAGAAGGGCCACTGTGCTTAAAGTAAAATGAGAAGAAACCTGAATATCAATGATAACATACCATTTTTGGGTAGTAATGGTAGATAAAAAAACATAGAAAATCGTCATCAGTTAGCATTTCATGTTTCTAAACTGTTGGTTGCGTGAGGAGTTTCATCGAAAAAGTTGTCGGGGCTAGATGTTGATGGCTCTTATAAAGGTTTGAGAGTTATTAAAGTTTGTAATATCTCATGATCACTATTTTGTAACTGTCGTAATTGTTGAATTTCTTTCTTAACAATATCCAATTCCTTTTGGAAGTCAGGAAGAGAAGGATTGTGGGAATCGTTATTACTATGTCGAGAAAAGATATCTTTCACACTATACGTCGAACTTTGATGAAAGGGATTGGTAGGTAGAATAGTCACAGGAGGTTTCTCCATGTGCTCATGAAGCTTTTTGAAATATTTTTCTTTGAGATGAGGATTATCAATATTATTGATTCGATCTAAAATAAGCTCTTGATCTTTGGTTAAAACATTGATAGAAGATTGAGAACTTTCATCAATGTCATCAAATTGTATGGCCTGAAGATTCTCATCATCATTATCATCAGAAGAAGAAGAATCCTCATGAGAAGAGTAGTGTTGGAGAAAATGATTATTGATTTTGTCATGAATCTCTTCATCAAGATTAAGCTCATTGAGCATGTTTTTTATACGACAATATTTGGAAATATGACCTATTTTTCCGCAACGAAAACAAGTAATGTTTTTATTTTCATTGTTAGATCGCGGTCCCTTATCTGGGCGGGGATTCCTAGAGAAATGGGATTTTTGATTCGTGGTTTTAAAAGATCGGTAGGGACGATCGCGATGTTTTTTATGAGGTTTGGTGTTACAATCCTCACAGTTAGATTTGGAAGAAATTTTTGAATAAGATTCATCAAACTGAGCACAAAAAGATCCTAGTTCATTTCGAGTTAGTTTTTGTTTGCGTTTAATTTGTTTTTGAAGTTTTAAATCATGGCAAATTTGTAATCCTTCTTTTTGTATAAAGCTAATAAGTTCTCCGTAAGTAAGTTGCTCATAAGGAATTTGACCATTAAAAGTGTCTTGGATTTTGTTTCGGATTTTATCTCCTAAGAGACGGGTAAGCCGACTAAAAACTTTTCTTTCCAAAATGGTTGATTACCATCTTCTCTTTGCATAACCCTAGTTAAAAAGGTATCTTTGTACCATCGGAAGTCATGAAACTTTTTACAACGAAGATTAGAAAGTAGTTCGGCATTTTTATCTTTAAGATGTGAAGG